AAATACTTGTTTACTTCCAGTTGTGCCACTTTTAGTTATACCCTAACTTTGCATTTGCCTCTTTTCTTTGCTGGAAATCAAAGTTCAAATCCTCTTTGGTATCGCTACCAACCCCAGTGCCCCAAGTCCTGCTCAGTGTAACCCATTCTGGGGTGTGTCTCTCTAGGCCCGTCCTTACACTTTATATATATAAATTCCTTTTTTTCTTTTTAATGGAGAAGTGTCATCTTATTTTATTATTACTAATGTAAGCATTGATGCCAAAGAAATGAAGGTAATTTTACAAATGCAGAATGTTTGCAAGTACATAAAATTTCCATTTTACTGTAGTTTTCTACCACACTAGTTCAAATGCGTTTCTCTACAACTACTTCAACATAACTCCTTTGGAATTATTTCAGTCATCCTTAACATGTGACTCTGCCAAATACTTTGAATCTAAAATAAACATATAAAATTTTAATTATTAACTTCTAGATGAATGGGGTAAGAAAGTTATCAGGTGATGGTTGGGACTGTTCATTTCCAAGAAGAAACTGTGTTGAAATGTTTCTTCTGATACAGTAGTTATAAATTAGAATTTTCAAAAAACAAGGGCAGAACAAAAGTACAATAAAAGAAACTTCTGCAGCTTAAGCCTCCCATAGTCCTAAACCTCTGAGAGAAGCAAGGCAAAGCAATTTTCCTGCAATTTAAGTGGGTTTCTAGTATTTCCATGTAGTTGAGCTTTCAGAGATAGATGCTCACAACGTATCATTAATACATATATATCATCTTGGCTCTGGTTATATTAATTATGCCTGAAGAGTTTAATACCCATCCAGGTCCAAAGGTGGAAGAACACAGAAACTGGTATGGTAATGGGCAGGAGCAGACCGTGAAAGCACAAGCTGGTTGTGTTGGTGCAGCCTTGTGGGGAGTTTTCTTCCACGGAGGCTGCCAACAGTCCTGCTAGAGATACCAACGGAATGAGGGCAGTCACTGTAGGAAGAGACAGAAACATTCTTCTCCCCCACTTATTACCTGCCACTCTTTTAAAAATGTAAGTGGTATTAAGAAAATCTAGTCTGTGAGATGCCTGGGTGGCTCAGTCAGTTAGGCGTCTGCCTTGAGCTCAGGTCATGGTCCTGGGATTGAGCGCTGCATGGGGCTCCTTACTCAGCGGGGAGCCTGCATCTCCCTCTGCCCCTTCCCCTGCTCATGCGCTCTCACTCTCTCAAATACAATCTTTAAAAGGAATTTCATTGTGTGTGTTGTGGTTTTTAATTATGATCTAGTGCTGCTCCATTTCTTCTTGCTTCTTATTTTAATGTGTCCTCCTAGCTGCCTGCGGTATCATATTAGGGATCCCATCAATAATGGGATAGGCTATTCCCAACTCTTCATTAATCAGTTCATTTGCCGATGTTTCATATCTGAGTGGCTTCTTGGGAGAGCGGGTGCACAGGAACTCAAGCAGCGCCTGGTCGAAGGCGCAGGGCGGGTCCCTGGTCCTCTTGCTCTTGTCTGTGGACGGCCGTGACCCTGAGGTGAGAAGGCATCTACGGGTGCCCACGAACCGTGGTACATGTGGACCCCACAGCGCAGAGGCGAGCCCAACCACATGCTCCACTCAGCATGCATAGTCTGGCAGGCCACAAGCACCCAGCTCGGTGCCTTCAGCCAGCCAGGCTGTTTCAGCCCATCCCTATATATAAATTCCTTTATAGGAGGTACTTTTTCATAAAAAGTGTCAATATGAATATATTCATTTATGTTTGCTTGTTCATCAGTGTTTTTAGAATCTATTCACATATATAGGTATATGAATTCCTTGTAACTGTTGTGTGTCCTGTTTCATCACCTGCACAGATCATCTTTGATTTTGCCTTTCCCCTGTGGATGGACATTTAGGATGTACCTGAAGTTCCTCTGTTATAAGCAATGCAGCAATAATAATCCCCTGCCCAGCTGGAGGGCCATAAGGCAGCAATCCGCTACGGGGGGGGGGGGGGGGGTCTATCCATGCCTTTCTTTAGAATTTCTATTGAATGGTGTTAATTAGCAGAAGAAATGCATTTACTCAGTAACTGCTTTTGAATTCCACTTAATGTACCCCTTACTGCCTTCAGGAATGGACTGCTCCCTCCTTCCTCTTCTGTCTTCCTGGTAGATACTGAAAAGTGGAATTATATTTCAATGTTCATGAGCACTGCCCAATGTTTTTTGCAAACCATTCCAAAGCTGATTTTTTTTTTTTTAAGATTTTATTTATTTGACAGAGAGAGAGAGCACAAGCAAAGGGAGTGGCAGGCAGAGGCAGAGGGAGAAGCAGGCTCCCTGCAGAGGAGGGGGTGCCCGATGCGGGGCTCAATCCCAGGACCCTGGGACCATGACCTGAGCTGAAAGGCAGTCGCTTAACCAATTGAGCCACCCAGGCGTCCCAAAGCTGATTTTTTCCATCAGCCTTTAAAACACCTTTACATTTGATTTTCTTCATCTTTTCCCACCTGGCCGCCTCAGTCTCCTGTGACCTCTCTCTCCCTCTACCTAGCCCTCAGATGGGACTGTCCACAGATTTCTGAGCCCAGCTCTCTGATATCATCCAGTAGCTCCAGTATAGGTCGGTGAATCCAGCCCATATCTGACTCCCAAGTCCATACCCTGGACCTCTCCCTGTGAATCCTGGATGAGCCCAGGGTATCTCTGTTTACAGGCTAACCCATCCTCCCACCCCAGCCCTACCTCCCTTTACTGCTGCTTCCCCATCTCAGGTAGGGGCAGGGGCAACTCAGCCACCTTCACCCTCGGCCCACTGTCTTCACAGCCCTGTGCCCACCATCCTGCCTGGTCTGTGACTTAGACTTTTGGGGTTTTTTTTTTTTTTTTTTTTTTTGCAGATGACAAGATTTTTTTTTAATTTATGGTTTCCTAGTTATTTTTTATTTTAAATTCAATTAATTAACATATAGTGTGTTATTAGTTTCAGAGCTAGAGTTCAGTGATTCATCAGTCTTATATAATACCCAGTGCTCACTACATCACATGCCCTCCTGACTGTCCATCACCCAGTTATCCTATCCCTCCACCCTCCACCCCTCCAGCAACCCTCAGTTTATTTCTTATGATTAAGAATCTCCTGGGACACCTGGGGGGCTCAATCGGTTAAGCATCTGCCTTTGGCTCAGGTCATGATCCCAGGGTCATGGGATTGAACCCCATGTCAGGCTCCCCACTCAGCAGGCAGCCTGCTTCTCCCTCTTTCTCTCAAATAAATAAATAAAACCTTTTAAAAAAAAAAAGTCTCTTATGGTTTGTCTCCCTCTCTTTGTCTTGTTTTATTTTTCCCTCCCTTCTCCCATGATCCTGTTTTGTTTCTTAAATTCAACTTATGAGATCGTATGATAATTGTCTTCCTGATTGACTTATTTTGCTTAGTATAATACCTTCTAGTTCCATTCACGTCATTGCAAATGGCAAGATTTCATTTTTTCTGATGGCTGAGTAGTATTCCATCGTATGTATGAACCACATCTTCTTTATCCATTCATCAGTCAATGGACATCTGAGCTCTTTCCATAGTTTGGCTATTGTGGACTTTGCTGCTATAAGCATTGTGGTGTACGTGCCCCTTCAGATCACTACATTTGTGTATTTAGGATAAATACCCAGTAGTGCAATTGCTAGATCGTATGGTAGCTCTATTTTCAACTTTTTGAGGAACCTCCATACTGTTTTCCAGAGTGGTTGCACCAGCTTGCATTCCCACCAACAGTGTAGGAGGGTTCCCCTTTCTCCGCATCCCCGCCAACATCTGTCGTTCCCTGACTTGTTAGTTTTAGCCATTCTGACTGGTGTGAGGTGGTTATCTCGTTGTGGTTTTGATTTGTATTTCCCTGATGCCAAGTGATACTGAGCATTTTTTCATGTGTCTATTGGCCATTTGATTGTCTTCTTTGGAGAAATATCTGTTCTTGTCTTCTGCACATTTCTTGATTGGATGATTTCTCCTTTGGGTGTTGAGTTTGATAAGTTCTTTATAGATTTTGGACACTAGCCCTTTATCTGATAAGACATTTACAAATACCTTCTCCCATTTTGTCAGTTGTCTTTTGGTTCGGACAACTGTTTCCTTTGCTGTGCAAAAGCTTTTTATCTTGATGAAGTCCCAATAGTTCATTTTTGCTTTTGTTTCCCTTGCCCTTGGAGACGGGTCTAGCAAGAATTTGCTGTGGCAGAGGTCGAAGAGGTTGCTGCCTGTGTTCTGCTCTGGGATTTTGATGGATTCCTGTCTCACATTGAGGTCTTTCATCCATTTTGAATCTATTTTTGTGTGTGGTGTAAGGAAATGGTCCAGTTTCATTCTTCTGCATGTGGCTGTCCAATTTTCCCAACACCATTTGCTGAAGAGACGGTCTTTTTTCCATTGGATATTCTTTCCTGCTTTGTGTGACTTAGGTTCTTGTTTGTAGCTTTAAAAAACAAGTCCACAATTCCCCACCTGAAGGGCCATCTTCTAGCCCAGGCCACCTTCCCTCCTACCTAGGTCACCCACACAATCTCCTAGCCAGCTTCCTGCCCCAGACTTGCTTGCGAACTTCGTCCATTGTCCCCCCTGTCTCCAGAGCTTCCTTCCACACCACACAGCTGACTGCACCAGTCAACCCTCTCCATTTGAGCATGGAGTCCTTATGATCTCGTTTCCACTCTCCTACCCAGCATTGTCTTCTCCAGTCTCCCCTGGTTCTAAGTTCCAGCTGCAGATAACCAGAGAGGCCCCCCAAGTTATGACTTCTCTAGGCACCCTCCTTCCCTCAACCTACAACACCCTGCAGACCCTCTTTGTCAGCTCCTCCTCGTCCTTCCTGTCCCTCTTAAAGACAGCATCCTCTAGGGAGCCCTCCCAGAACCCTCCCCACCCTGTCCAGAAAGTAGGTTAAGATCCGAATGTAGGGTCCTTGAGGTCTGTTAGAGGCTGACCAGGAGTCACTGGGGGTTGGCTGGGGGCCACTGGGGATTGGCTAGAAGCCTTTGAGGGCTGGCTGGAGACCGTTGGAAATTGGCAGGAGGACTTTGGGACTGGCTGGGGGCCATTGGGGATTGGCTGGAGGCCTTTGGGGGCGTTCCTCCGGGGATTGGCCAGGATATTGGGATTGGCTGGATTCCCTTGGGGGCTGACTGCGTGCCGTTAGGGATTGGCTGGGAACCGGTGGAGATTGGCCCGGGTCCGTTGGGATTGGCTGGATTCCCTTGGGGGCTGACTGGGTGCCTTTGGGGAGCTGGCTGGGGGCCGTTGGGGATTGTCCGGGGATCTTGGGCCGCGCGGGCAGTTGCTGCGAGCGCTGAGGGAGGGAGGCCGGGCTTACACCCAGGGGTGGGTCTCCTGAGACAAACAGGGCTGGAGGGTGGGGATCCCCGCCCGCCGGCGCCCTGGACCCGGAGTGAGGAGGAATCCAACGGGAGCGCCCAGCCGCCGAGGCTCCGGGCGGATGAGGGAGAACTGCGGCGCCCCGGAGCAGCCTGCTGGGACCGGCCCTCTGCGGGCAGCCGGGCGAGGGCGCCCCCGCGGCGAGGAGCAGGTCTCTTGGGGCGAGGAGGCCGAGCCCCCTGGCGAGTCGTCCGGGGAGTCGGGACCGCGCAGCCCTCAGCTCGCCGGCAAGTCCCCGGTGGCAACTGCCCGGAGCCCAGAGGCGCCCGGAGCTCGCCCGCTGCACCCGCGGGAGCGGCGAGGGATGTGGGACTGCGCTCAGTTTCCCGTCTTCCTGTGCCTCTTTCCCGACCTGTTTGAGCACAGGCTCCAATTTTAGAGGCTGTGGAAGGGAGAGCTTAGCCCAGGCTTGCTAGCAGGGCCTTTACCTGCCACGGGCTCTTGCCAGTTCTGGCTAAGGGTGAGTGCGGGGGAGGTCTCGCCGGCCGCCCTGCCAAGTGCTCACTCACTGGCTGTGCGCTAGTGGCTGAAACACTGATCGCCAGGGCGGACCTCGGTGACTTAGATCTTGTAAAGCCCTGAGCTGTCCTGACCCCCAAGACGCAACTCCGGAGGGAAGATTTCTCCATGTCAGGCTTAGATCAGATTTGTCCGCTTTTACCAAGAGCTTGTCGACAAAGGCTTTGAGAGACACACGGTTGGGCTGTGCGCTTCGCCACTAGATTTAGGCACCGTGGAGGTAGGACAAGTCAGCTTCCTACACCCACACCACTGAAACAGACAAATGCATACAGGTAAGCAAGGATGATAGAATTAGGAAGGCCTGGTTGTGATGATCGCTGTACCCCCTGTAGTTGGTCCTTTCATAAAGATGTCCTTTGTCCTTGAACAATCTCAGGTACACATTCCATCCTTGCATGTGTGAGAACGTAGATAGAAAATGCATTTCTTTCTTTGTGTGAGATGATAGCCAATAAGTGCCAGGAGGGTTACAGGTGATTTTAACTAAACTGCCTGGAACTAGTTCTGGTTATGCATGCTTGAAGACTGCGGGCTTCTGTTCCAGCTTTAGCTGTCCCGCTGCCAGTAGACTGGGCTTGACAAAAGATAACAGCTACAAAAAGTGGGAAACTCATCTAGTGATTTTATTCTTATAGGGGTCAACTCTCTTCCAAAACCTACTTTTGGGGTTTTTTTGTTTTGTTTTTTGTATTTTCCAGCAACAGATTTTTATATTTCCTCCTGAGTTTTTAGTGTTTATCCATGGGAGATTGATAGGAGCTGCTTGGCCATTACAAGAGTGGGTCCAATCTGTTAACAAAGTTCTAAGAAATATGAGTGAAATTTCATGACTGACCCTTAACCTAGAGACTGGACTTGCATAGGAAGGAACACCCTATAGGTGTTCAAAATATGTTTAGGACCCATCGCTGGAAGTACCCTTTGGAGCCAGCTTAGAATTCATAGAACCTGGTCTCATTCCTGTCGAGTCCATTTCCATTTTCCATCCCGGGTGGTAATATGCAATTTGATTGCCCTTTTATTCACCTCATGGATTCCAAACTTCTTTCAGTCTGTACCAGAAATTCAGTTCACTCTCTTATAAGGATTTCCCACCCTGGAAAATATTTCAAAGCCCCTTGAGCTAAGGGCTTTGGGGAGGGGGAGCACCCAAGAGGAGTTCCAGAGTGGTAATAAGCTGTGACCTCCCAAGTAAGGTGGCCAAGCTGCTGCCCAAGGGGATTCTTTAGAAGGCAAGAACAAGAACTCAATTAGATTTATCTATGTTGCTTCACAAAAGCAGACTTCAATCTGGAATGTGTACAATATGTACCACGTTCTTTGTACAGGGAGTTAAATCGGATATATTCTTGCTGAATTTTTCAGTCTTATATTTAAGGTTCTGGTTTCCTGAACAATGGTAGATGGCATTTTCTACAGTAGCAAGTGTTTGGGGTCTGTGCTATGATAAATAATTTACTAGTTTGGGTTCTAGAAGGTTCGAATAAAATGAAATCATCTAAGAGAGAAGACAAGAAAAAGCAATAAGCAGCTTGTTCACACTAACTGAGAGTAGGATCCTTCCGGGCCTGCGCAGACAACTGGAACTGCGCTGGTGATGACAATATGTGCCCCCCACCCCCCAGCCTCAGGAAGGCCCCGTGGGAAAGACGCCCATTTCCCATGGCACCTTCTCATCGAGAGCACCCATCTGAGTTGGAGGAAGTCCTCTGCGATATTGAGCCCCTGGGACTGCCCATCACTGGCAAGATGCAGGTGTTTCAAAGCAATTCTTGTGAATCTGTCACAAAAGGGGACCTTGGAGCTGTCTTGTGGAACCCTTGTGAGGCTGAGAACCCTACCAACAGGAGAGAAGCCATATTTTAAGCACCTGGGTCATGTTCAGATCCTGAGCACCAACTCTCAGATGGTGGAACAGGCACAGATCTTCACCAAGGTTTGGAAAAGTACTAGCCAGGAAGCATTTCATAGGCAGGCTGCCGCTGCCCTCCCGTGGTTAACATAATGACTGACCGTAATCTGTCAGGTGCTCGGCTTTCCTTTGTGGATTTAGATGAATGAAAGCCATACATTCCTCTATTTTCCCATTTAATTTAGATGGTAGTCTCTATTATAGGCATGGGTAAGGTGAAAGATATAAATTCTTTGAAATATGAAATGGAAGGTTGTTCTCAAGTACTGTATCTTTAATTAATAAACTTACTATTTTACAGGAAAAAAAGTGGTATTAATATCTCTGCTTTTTGGCGCCCTCACATAATAAATGTCTTTTTATTTGTCTTCTTTCTACATTACAAGGCAAATTCCTGGAGGGTAGGGAATGTTTCCAATTCTTTGTCAGATCCCATGTTCCTAGCTCAATGAAGAGCACATGGTTTCCAGCAAATATTGTTGAATAACAAAATTACAAGTTGTAAGAGTTTATGTTATGTTTCCCTTTATTCTTGCAGCAAATGTGGCAGGCAGTGGCTTTTTTATTTGATTATCTTATGCATAGATTATTCTTGGCAGAAAGGACTTTATGCCACCTAGACCCACTTCCCCCTGCATGAAGGAAGTCTTGCAGCCTCTTCCTGGATATTCAAATCAAAGCAGGTCAGCAACTGCTTTTTACCTAGTTGAAATGCAAAGAAACGTCACCGAGATAAAATTTTTCATTAATCAGATTAACAAAGATCAGTAATTATTGTGGGTGATGAGAAATTGAACTCTGCATTCTCTTTTGATGCCACTAAAAATGCAATTTAAGAACATGTAATGATTTTATTTTAAACCCTTAAAATGTCCCTGTCATTTGATCCAGCTAACCATAAGGATGTTCATGACAGCTATGTTTATGAAGTAGAAATTCTGTAAAATATAGGAAAATAAACATATAAACTATTTGGTAGTCAACAGTTTATATTATAGAGCTAACATATACAATAGGTACATATCCATAATATCATGGAGAAATGCTTATTGTAAATTCTATAGGAAAAAGTCAATTGGCTATTCTTATGTCTATGATTACTTTTGCCTAATCGCATTGCCTGAGAAGGTCATTGCTATGATACAAAGGACTGGTGATAGTGGGCATCCATGTCTTCTTTCCATAGTGAAATGCTTCTAGAATTTTTCCATTGTATCATCTGTCTATTGTCGAATAACAAGCTTTCTTAAAGCGAAGTTGCTTGAAACAACATTTCTTTTGCTCACAGATACTCAGTTTCCATAGAGCTGGACAGGAATGACTTTCATCTGCTCCATATGGCATCCACAGAGATGGCTCAAACTGAGACTGGACAATCCACTTTCAGTACGGATCATTCACATGGCTGGCAAGTTAATGCTGGCTGTCGGTTGGTAGTTTGGCTGGTCTGGGGTCTGGGAGTAAGGGGCCTTGCTTCTTCTCCAAGTGGGCTTCTCCTCAGATTCTTGGGCTTCTTCACTGGACAATGGCTGAGTTCCCAGAACAAATGTCCCAAGAGATCCAAACCAAAGGCACTTTCATGCTCTGTCCTTGGAAATCATACAATATAGTTTCCACTGTTCCTTATTAGTTGAGAGAATCCCAAAGTTTCACTCAGATTAAGAGGAGGAGAACAAAGATTCCATCCATGAGGTAGTGCAAGGTTGTATTATACAATGAGCGTATGGGATGAAAGACATTCTTATATTCTAGAGTTGATATTTTAACCTCTCTCATTAACAAAGCATTGGAACACTTTATCTTCAACATGCTCCGTCTGTTCTTCGTATATATTTCATTGAATGCTTTTTTCCTTTCTAAGAAAAGATTTTATTTATTTATTTATTTATTTATTTGAGAGAGAGAGAGGAAGAGGGGAGAGGACATCTGAAGCCGAGTCCCTGCTGAGCATGGAGCTCAGTGCTTGGCTCGGTCCCTCAACCCTGAGATCATGAACTGAGCCGAAACCAAGTTGGACGCTCAACTGACTGAGGCACCCAGATGCCCTTTTCTTTTTTTGGTTTTTACCCCATAAATTGGATGCTAAGGTATACCACCAAGGAATACATCTCCAAAGAATATAGTTTCCCTTTGTCTGTCTTTGAGCTTCTTACAAATGGAATCACATATTAAGAATAATTTGTTACCACTTTCTTTGCCCAAAGCTGTTTTCAAAACTGATGCATGTCATTTTGTGTAGATGTGCTTTGTTCATTTTCGTGGTTGCCCGGCACTCTGTGATGTAAATATATGACAGTTGAGCAACTGTGCGGTAGGTGGACTGCTGGCCACTTCCAGGGTTGTTGATTCACATTCTTGTCCACATATCTTAGTGCAAATGTGCATGAGTTTCTTTGGCGTATATCCCTAAGAGGGATATTAGAGATGCTTATGTTACTAAATAATGCCAAACTGTACCGATGTGTACTCCCACTACTCAGTAGGAAAGTTCCTGTTCCATAACCCTGTTAACCATAATCTGATTTTGCCAGATTTTGTTCTTATTTATGGTAGCTTTGAAATGGAAAACAACACCTTAACCCACCTTAATCTTACCTTCCTGCATGCCATCTTCCCAAAGAGTTAAGAAAGTTTTCCCCTAAAAAGTTTGCCCCTTCCATTGCATAGCTCATAACTGTTTGACTTGGTTGTACAGAAATATTTGGCTGAGTATATGGATACCAGAGACAGAATGTGCCTGTATTAGCAAAACTCTGGATGCTTCCATTGCTGCTTTACAGGCTGGCCAGATTTAGCCGGAATTCTTGTCTTTCTCATGGCTTCGCTTAAAGCAATCAAAAAATTATCAACTGAAGCCATCATTCTGGATCTTTCCTACCATTTCCCTAATGCTACAGATTTGGTCAAATTATAATCTACCGTCCAAAGTAATGCAGGCCTTGAAACCCGACCAAACATTCTACCACCATGTAATTGGAGGTACCAGCTTCTCAGCCTGTGGCCAGCTATAGAAGTCAGGGGAACTATTACTATGGAAGAAGGGAGGATGGACATTGGACCACCAGCAGTGAGTCACTCTACCAGCATCACTTTTTCCCTCCTTATTAACTTTATTTTTGTTTTCTGGAAATGTCCTTATATTGTCCTAGTTCTTGGATAAGAGAGCTGGGTTGACCATTCATTTTTCTCCATCAA